GCAGGTCAAGCAAGACCCAGTGAACCAATGTGGGAAAATGCCTGCATTGGCTGTGTTTTTTACATCTAATTTTAAAATTGCTTTAAGACTTACTGTCTCTGCAGGTTTTCCATTGCCTGAATGAAATCCTGGATCTCTGTCACAGTTTCTGCTCTCTGGTCAGTCAGAATTTGGGCCCATTGGATGAGCGTGGAGTCACACAGCTCAGCATCCTGGTAAAGGTAAGTCTTTGCCCAGCCAGATCCTCTCCTCCTTCCTGCTGTGTACATACATGGACATGACAAATAGACAGAACTTATTTTGGATTTAGGCTTGACTGACATTTTTAAAATTAATTTAGTAAAGCCAGTGCAGATCCATGTGTGGGCCCTTATTTAGGAGTAAGAGACCCCTCCCTATGTTGATCAGGAATTTGTTTTAAGATAAACTGAAATTAAAAAAAGGTTTAGTTAAATTGTTTAGGCCAGGCCCCTCTTCTCGCTGTGTGGCTAGTACAGAGCTTCAGCCAGCAATCTTAACTCACCTGAGTGAGCAAATAAGTTTGCAATAAAATTTATATTGGCTCAGACAGATTGTGGAGTTATGGAAAGCAACTTGAGTGGGTCAGGGTCTATACTTCCACCCTGATGTATCGAGTACTAGAACATCATTGGAGTCATAGCTAGCGTACTTTACAGTGGAGATGGCACAGCATCACTGCCTGCATCTGGAAGGAAACCACTTTAGGTCTCCGGCTTTGTCTCCTCCATCCCAGCCCAAACAATCACAGTGGCTTTAACACCCTTTAGTTCTGGCCTTCTGTAATTTGCAGGGCTTCAGCCGTCAGTCCTCGCTCCTCTTCAAGATTCTCTCCAGCGTTCGCAACCACCAGATAAACTCTGACTTGGCTCAGCTGCTGCTCCGCCTGGACTACAACAAATACTACACCCAGGCTGGCGGGACCTTAGGCAGGTAGGAATACACAGTACAGAAGCTTGAAAGGGTATCAGGCTTGATGGTAGCAGCAATTCTGCTTTCCAAGGTTATTGGGACAAAATGGGTTAACTAATTCTCAGTGATTTTTATTAAGAGGTTCTAACTTTCCACCTGGGCCCAAAATACTTAAGTGAAAAGGCTCACATGAGCATTACATGGACTGAAGTGCTGCCAGGTGATAGGGCCAGTGAATCTAGATTAGCACCACTCCTGCTAGCTACCTCTTCCTCTCTGTACACTGACTTTGAGATCATTGCAGGCTGCTTACTGTTTGGCATTCACTGATCATTAGAGCCATCTACCAACTTGCATGGAGGGAATTTCCTAGACCTGTGGCTTTCAAACTATGGGTCATGACCCAGTCCTGGGTCATGGAATGTCAAGCACTGGGTCTCATTGCTGCAGGGGGAGCAGGTGATCAGTGAGAGTATACCTGCTGCCCTGGCACTGCAGACTGCCCTGTGCCCCAGAAGCAGCCAGCAGCAGGTCCAGCCCCTAGGTGGGGGGAGAACACAAAGGAACTCTGCACACTCTAGCTGGCTGCTTCTGGGCTGCAGCATGGTCTGCAGTGTCAGGAGAGGCAGAAAGCCTGCTTTAGCACCCCTCTTGCCCCAGTCCAGAGCCCCTTCCACATGTCAAAACTCTAATCCTCAGCCTCATCAGAGCCCACAATTATGCTGGGTCACGGGCATCATTTTTTTTCAAATGGGTCATGAGGGGAAAAAAAAGTTTGAAACCCACTGTATGCGATTAATGGTGTCTTTCCTCCTCTCTTGCAGTTTTGGGGTTTGAACACCAAGACCCTTTTTTGTGGCTGAGAGCTAAAGCACTGCAAGATATTGCAAAGACAACTGGCTCTGCAGTGAGTGCACATGACCATCGGTGCATTCCTAGGGAATTTATATTTTCCTGGTCAAACACTTCAGCTATTGCCAGGATATCCATCTCTTCTGGAAAAGACTAATGGGGAGACTGTTTCATTGCTGCTGGTGACTGCAGGGAGCCATTCCACTCACTGAATACAGTGGTAGGGACAGCTTCCTTGCTGCAGCATTTCTGTATCATCCTTTTGCTCCTAGGGTGACGTTTACCCTCCTGCCTGCCAAAGGAAATACAAGAGCACAAAGTTACCCCTCTCTCTCTGCCACAAAGGAAGCATAGAAAGAGAAGTGTTCTTCTACATGCCTGTGTTTGTGAAAGAATCAGATGGTATGCGCATAGGGTTCAGTTTGTACAGGAAGTCATTTCGCAGTTGCCCTCAGATTTGAATAAATCAGCAGGTGTGTGACTAGGGTGGATTGATTTAAATCAGTAATTTAAAATCAAGTTTCCCACTGACATCCCATTTCTTCATATAGTAATGTAAATCTGATCACTAAACAATGTTAGTTTACAGCTCAGTATAGCATTTTACAACATCTAAGAGGGTATACTTGATATTTTTTGATAACTTGATTTCTATTTTAAGAAATAGCACATAACTCATTACCTGTGTCCAACGTGCAGATGCAGCAGCAGTACATTAGGAATTGTAAGAACTAAATCACAGACATAAAAGCATATATATTTTATTAAACTAAATGTTACATGAATGTTTCACATTTGCAACAGTCGCCTGAGTTGCTGGCTGACGGCTGTCCTTGAATTTTTTTTATTTTCAAATGTTATTAATTCTAACAGACAAATCCTCAAAACACTAAATGTACAAGGTTCTCAAAACTTCTACAATTAGTTTTCATCGTTTTCATCTTCTCCGCTCCCACTGTCAAAGCTAAGACTATGCTTGTAACAGTGTTGCTAACAGTGGCAACTCTAGATTTCTCATACTGTAGCTTTGGGTGATAATTTAAAACCTAGTTAACTAATTAAACAAGCTATAAGGATTAGCTAAACTAACCCATTTTTTTTCTAGGAACATCCAACACAAACAGCTTAGGAATTTACTCATTAAGTCTATTATACTAAAAGCATAGAGTCTTGAAAAATGATGCATTGCAAAGTTGATCCACACTGTGCTTCAGACAAATCCACATCATTTTTTTCCCCCCAATAAGCAGTTTTCTTTAGGATTCATTCTTGTAGCTAGGCCCTGCATCATCTTGCTCTGCTTGTGCTTGACACAATTTCCTTTTTTAACTCCTGGAACAAATTTCTTCAAAATAATCCCAGATAGGGTCTCTTTTACATCCAGAAGACAGGACAGGTTTTCTATGGCAAAAGTGTGGGGGAATGTAGGAAGCTATGCATGTACTCAGGGTCTTCCCTTTTTTCTTTCCAGTCCATTTTACTGGTCCTTTCTGTGCTGCCTCCACCCTTTCCTATGTATTGTCTCTGGCTGTGTCTACAGTGGCATGATTTTGCACAAAAGCACCTGCCTGTCTACACTAGCAGGGAGTTCTTGCACAAGAACACTGACATTCTAATGTGTGAAATCAGTGCTTCTTGTGCAAGAACTATGATGCTGCCGCTCAGGAATAAGCCCTCTTGCACAATTGTTCTTGCATAAGAGGCCAGTGTAGACAGGCAACATGAATTTCTTGCGCAAGAAAGCCTGCTGGCTAAAATGGCCATCAGAGCTTTCTTGCGCAAGAGAGCGTCTACACTGGCATGGATGTTCTTGTGCAAAAGCACATCTCTTGCGCAAAGGCACATGCCCGTGTAGACGCTCTTTTCTGAAAGAGTTTTTGCACAAGAACTCTTCCGCAAAAGAGTTCTTGCGCAAAATCATGCCAGTGTAGATGTAGCCCCAGTGTATGATGTAGAAAGGAGGGATAATGGTGGTGGTCTGGTTAGGTCTAAGCATGGTTTTGCTCAGGGCCACAGGGCTCCCTGTAAAACAGTGCTCTGGTTTCTTCTAGAACAGCAAGATAGATGGGGGCACTATAGAATGAAACCATTTTTGCTCTACACTGAACAAGTTTTCTGAATGTACTTGGTTTGAGCTGGGTGACCCAAACACTGCTGGCATAAGAGTATTATTCACTGTAATCAGAGAGGGAGCATTACGTCCAATATATACAAGAACAGTGAGCTCCTTGCAGCACAGCCAAGAGTACTGCGGGCTTTTTAATTAGCTAACAAACGCATGAAGCAGTGAACCTGAAAAAATATTCATCAACTGAGTAGTCAGTGGGCGAGATTTTCAGGCATGGGGGACAGTAGGATAGACTCTGCAAGCCCAAGAGGGACTAATCATATGAATGAGAACCTGAGTTGTGTCCCCCTTATCAAAAACCATTAAACCTGAGAATTCAGCGAAGCCTGAAGAAGCTCTGGTGCCACCGATTAAGAAAACACAAAAATAATTTAAACACACACTGACAGCTTCTCTAAGTGATGAGTAAGGAAGGATATAAGTAGCTGAAATATGCAAGGTGGCAAGTGATTTACTTAGTGCAATAAAGGCTGATTTATAGGAGAAGCTGCCTGCCACTGGACATGAAGAGGCACAGCTGTCCTTTTGACAGTCAAATTTAAATTGCATAGGAAATCAAAGTTCAGTCCCTTGCTAACATAGGCAACTCCATCATGAAAACCCATTCATAAGTTTAATCAAGCTGTACCTTAGGTAGATTGTTTACCACTGCTATTCCTCTTGGAAGGGCATTCCAGGACCGCACACTTCTGGGAGTTAAGAGGTGTAGAGGGAGCACCATCCCCAGGCTCGGTGCAGCTCTTCTCCCCTGTGGCTATGTTCCTGGCCCTGCCCCCATTCTCAGCCTGCACACACATGCTGGCTCCCACCTCACCAACTCCTTGGTAGGCCAGGCTGTGGCTCCATTCCTGGCCCCACTCTCAGACACCTTCCCATGTTTACATATTCCCACCATTCCCTGGGGAGCTGTGGGCCCTAGCCCCAGAAGGAGGGCAAGCGGCCCTGGGGGAGACAATCTTCAAAAACATGGAGATGAACTGCTCAAGACCTTAAGGGCAGTGAGTTGTTCCTGTGTACAATAATTCAATCCTCTACTCCAGTGTGGCATCAGCAAATCCCTAGAATCATAGGTCTAGAAAGAATCTTGAGAGGGCATCAAGTCCAGTCCCTTGAACTCATGCCATACCAAGCCCACTGCTTCTTGGCCTCTCAGACAGAAAGGAGAGTAACTTTTCTCCTCCTCCTTGTAACAATCTTATAGTCTTGAAAATATATGTCCCCTCTAAGTCTTCTCTTTTCCAAACTAAACAAACACAAATCTTATCCAGACCTTTAATCATTTTTGTTGCTTTTCTCTGGACTTTCTCCACATCTTTCCTGAAATGTGGCACCCAGACCTGACCACTGTACTCCAGTCCAGTTCAGGCTAATCAGTAGTGAGTAGAGCAGAATTTTCACTTCTCATATCTTGCTTACAACAGTCCTGTTAACGTACTGCAAAATAATGTTCACTTTTTTAAAACAGTTTTTACAATGTTATTTCATTTAGCTTGTGGTCCAGTGTGTCCCCCAGACCTCGTTCAACAGTACTCCTCCTCAGACCATTATTTCCCATTTTGTATGTCTGCAACGGATTGTTCCTCCCTAAGTGGAATACTTTGCATTTGTCCTTATTGAATGTCATTCTATTTACTTCAAGCCCATTTAGAATTAATCCTATCCTCCTAAGCTCTTGCAATGCAACCCCTCCCAGCTTGATATCATCTGCAAACTTTAAGTGTCATCTCTATGCCATTATCTAAATCATTGAACAGATTCAGAACTGATCCTTGCAGAACCCCACTCGTTATGCCCTTCCAGCATGGCTGTGAATCATTGATAACTCCTCTCTGGGAATGGTTATCCAGTCAATTATGCACCCACCTTAGAGTCGCTCCCTGTAGGTTGTAGTTCCCTAGTTTAAGAGAAAATCATGTGAGACTAAAGTCTTAACAAAGACTAGATCGGGGTCGGCAACCTTTTCAAACCAAAGAGCCAAACTACATCAAAATTCAGAACAAGTGGTCAACAAAGAGCCAGTATAAAAATGCCCATTTGCATGACTGAAAATGATACAACTTAATATTATTAATGGACACGATTAACAACAGCATACATGAAACATTGTACTCAGGGACTTTATTTAATGGGACTTCTGCTGGAGATGCAGTTTGTGGATGTGTAGGGTGCAGGAGGTGGAGTGGGAAACAGTATGTTGGGGGGAGCCTGGGGCAGGGTTATCTTCCCTGGCCAGTGCTGGGCTGCTGCACCCGGGCAACGGTGGCTGGACGAGGGGATGGGTCATGATCACCGCAGCGAGATCACCGCCTCCTCTCTTATCTATGCCGCAGCAGGAGGGAGGGCCACCACCAACCCTTCCTGCAGCCACATGGGGACCAAACCAGGGGGCCTGCCCCAGGATCAGGGCTGGGGACAGGACACTGCAGCCAGACAGGGACTGAGCCCCAACTGAGGCCTAGTTGACCAAGCTTAATTTTAAATAAAGTAAAATATTATGTCCAACACAAAAGGTTTCAACGTTGCTTTTATTTATGGCAGGGGTGAGGAACCTTTTTTGGGTCAGGGGTCACTGACCCACAGAACAATCAGTTAAGGACCACACAAGTGGTGTGTGGAGGGGCAGGGAGGGCTGAGGTTCAAGGCCTCAGGCCAGATGAACTCTTCTGGGGTGAATTTTGTAGGCCCCTCAGGCTCTAGGATGGGGTAAAAAAATGAGGGATTCAGTGTGCAGGACAGGGCTACCAGTGAGTGGCATAGGGATGGGGTGCAGGAAGGGGTGAGGGTGCAAGGTCTGGGTGGGAGACGGTGCAGGAGCAGGCTGGGAGTAGGGGGTCTGGCCAGTGGTGAGCAGGAAGGAGCAAGGGAGGGTGCAGAGTCCTGCCAGGAGGAGGGTGCAGGTGCAGGAGCAAGGGAGAGTGAAGGAGCAGGCTGGGGGAAGTAAGCCGGAGGGGGCTCTGTTAGGGCAGTGCTTCTCAAACTGTGGTTCCCACAGCAGGAAGCCCACGATGGTGCTCCAGCCTCCTTCCTGCCCCTCCCCTGCTGGAGTGCCAGCACTGGCTTCCCTTGGGGGGAGGGAGGGAGTCCCAAGGTTCCCTGCTGGATCCATCTTGTGAGGAAGAAGTGGAGCCAGAAGCAACTCTACGCACTCCTTTCCCGGCTAGGGAAACAGAAGTGCACTGACACACAGCCTAGATGCTTTCCCCACTGCTCCCATTGGCCAGAATCTGGCCAATGGGAGCAGCGGAGAAAGCTTCCAGCTGGGGAAGGAGGACAGAAAGGGGCGGCATGCGGTGCCGCTTCTAACTCCGCTTCTTCCCCATAAGCCGGATCTGACGGGGAGGCTCATGGCTTTAGAATCCTAGGGCTGGAAGAGACCTCAGGAGGTCATCGAGTCATCGAGGGCGGGGGGCTGGACTCGATGACCTCTTGAGGTCCCTTCCAGTCCTATGATTCTCTGAGGCCATCCCCCTGCCCAAAGCTTTCTCCTTCTCTGCCTCCCCTCCCCTCCCCTCCCCTGCAAGAAGCTGGCTCTGGCACGCTGATCTCACAGGGGGCCACAAGGCTGGAGCACCAGTGCGGGCTCCCTGCTGGGAGAGGGAGCGAAAGGGGGGCTGAGCTCGAGCTGAAAAAGAGCCATACGTTGCTGACAACTCGGCTAGTATACCACATGTACCACTGCCCCTCTACGCACAAGACTTGTTACCCTGTCAAGGACATCCATCCAACAGACTCCTAATTTCTGTGCTAAGATCACTAATGAAAAGATTTCACCAGTGCGGGCTCCCTGCTGGGAGAGGGAGCGAAAGGGGGGCTGAGCTCGAGCTGAAAAAGAGCCATACGTTGCTGACAACTCGGCTAGTATACCACATGTACCACTGCCCCTCTACGCACAAGACTTGTTACCCTGTCAAGGACATCCATCCAACAGACTCCTAATTTCTGTGCTAAGATCACTAATGAAAAGATTTCCCACCCCCCCCCCACCACCCCAGCACATTCAGCACAATTCATTGTCTTGGCTTTACCCATGCAATAAGCCTGCTTAGTCCAGGAGCTGGCCAGGATGATGTTTTCTCTAGCTAGGTTACATCAGAGCATTGTTTCTGCCACTGCAACAGAAGGAAAAAAGTAAAGATAAGTTATTGTAATCTTTGTGCTTCCTGCCAATATGGTCAGAAGCAAAGATTCAGTCCTTGACTATCTATGGGATGAGAGAACTGGAAGTTCTTCACTGATAACGCTAGCACAGCCCTCTTTCTGAAGTGAGATGCTGATTTAGCCTTTCTTGCTCCCACTTCTCATTCTTTCATAGAATCACAGAATCCTGGACGAGACCTCAGGAGTCATTGAGTCAGCCCCCTGCCCAAAGCAGGACCAATCGCAACTAAATGATCCCAGCCAGGGCTTTGTCAAGCCGAGACTTAAAAATCTCTAGGGATGGAGATTCCACCCCCTCCCTAGGTAACCCATTCCAGTGCTTCACCACCCTCCTAGTGAAATAGTTTTTCCTAATGTCCAACCTAGACCACCCCCACTGTAACCTGAGCCCATTGCTCCTCCTTCTGCCATCTGTCCCCACTGAGAACAGCCTCTCTCCATCCTCTTTGGAACCTCCCTTCAGGAAGTTGAAGGCTACTATCAAATCCCCCCTCACTCTTCTCTTCTGCAGATTAAATAATCCCAAATCCCTCTGCATCCAGTAACTAAACGCAATACTTCATGCTCTGGAAGTCATAGCCACAGGAGATGAGTACAAGACAGTTTAGCAGAGATTTTTATTTTAAAATGGTTTGGTCCTCAAACTGTGAAAGCAGATAAAATGGGAGGCGGGTGCAGAGCAAGGCAGTGCAGGCTCTCTCTCAGCCCTCTGAACACTTTCTTTCAGCAGTGGAGGAGGCTTTTCCTTCATTAGTATTGCAGCACCTCTAATAAGTTACAGCTATGCCAGAAGGCATAATAATAATAATTTACTCAGCCTCTTTTGTATTACAGCCCTCTGCCAGCTATAAACCATGAGCTCTTGGTATCTGAATGCAGCTGGCTAAGGCCTGCCATCACTCTGTGGCGACTGCTTGGTTGTGTGAAGGGGCCATATGCTATACTGTTTCTGCAGAGGAAACAGCTTGCTTCATACCAGAACTCTTAAAAGTAGGGCTGTCAATTACACTTAACACCTGCTACCAACTGAAAACAGTTAGTGCATTAATCGCATCCCTGTAAGGGACAGGTGGGGAGGGGCTGTAGCCCTGAGCTTGTATGTGAAAACATCAAAAATATTTAAATAAATGGCATTCTGCTGTTTAGCAATGTGATTAACTGTGGTTAATCACAGTTCATTTTTTAAACTGCTTCCCCCTTTACTTAAAAGAGAACATTAACTATTCAAACACTGCTGCCTGTTCGATTTTTTTGCTCTGCCCTCCATCTCCAACACAGGGGATCATATGCCTTCTCTGGTAGCAGTCCTACTAGTCAAGTACACATGCCAGGATGGTCACAGGCAGAACTTGCTCTGCCCCTGAATTCCCTCCAGACTCATCACAGCACTTCCAAGTCCACCCTTCCCCACCTCAAATCCATTCTAGGAAGAGAGCAACCTCAGACCATCCAAGCTGCTCAGCCTAAGACTCCACCATCCTCCCCTAAGAATAGCCCCAGTCATCGGCTCTCATGAGGGGAAAAAAAATGTGTTACCACAAGAGATTCAACATTTATTTCATCATAAAAGTCCATCAAATAAAACTATATACAGTGATCCATGCATGTGGCTAGTAACACAGACATTTAAAACCTGATTAAAACACAGTCTTCACACCAGCAGGGAAGTCAGGACACAAGGTGGAATTAGCAGGGGTCATAGTCATGTTTATATTTTGGATGCTTGTTGTAGCCAACTCTCTCCCCAGCAACAAGGCTCTGAATAACCCACTCCTGTGACACAACAGGGAGCCGTAATGCTTCTGCACACTTCAGGACAGCAGCTGGGCAGGACGAGTCAGTCACCACCACGTCAAACACACCCAAAGAAATATCTGCAAGGAGTAGGACACAGGCTGTTGGCAGGGCAAGAAGAAAAAGGACCCCTCCCTCCTTGCAGTCACAAGAGATGCACAGTCTCACTGACCCAGGGAAGTTTCTTTCATCTCTCCTCAACCCTACTCAGAAAATTCTGTATCTCGTCAAGTTAGAAATACTCCACACACCAAACTGGAGCTCAGAGGGAGCTTCAAGATCAAAAACAAAGCTGCCTTTGGCAGATGGAACAAGCAGCTGTTTGGGCTCACATCCTACATACGCTCCATAGCTTACAGGCCATCAGAACTGCTGACCCGGTTTTCCCTTTTTAAGAGCAGTCTGGACCATCAACTGGACTATTGCATCATTCCCAAATAGGGGTCAACAGAAGAGGGGAGCCTTCCCCATTTTATCCAGGCAGACAGCTATCCGTTACCCTGTCCTGTGTCTGCTATCCCTGCTCTCACTACAGCAGCCTGACCCCTCAGTGAGGCAATTTTACATCATTTTAACGCCACACAAGATCGCACAGGCACTGAAGTCCCAACTTCTGCTTGAGATTTACATGAGGCTCACTGGCTGGTGGGTACCTTTGTTCTGGTCATTCGAGTAATGTTGTTTAACTGATGCTGCTCCCCCGGTCATGAGGATTTCTGACCAAAGCTCAAGGAAGTTCTGCTGTTGGTCTGATACCAGAAGAACCTTCAGGTTACGGAAGGGGCTCACTCGGGGATGCCTGGAAAAAGAAAAAGAGTAGGAGCCCTATAAGACTCAAAACAGTAACTTAATTCTAGGGCCACTTACTCCCGGATACAAGGATGGCAAAGGGCCATAGATCTAATCAGGCAGCTACTGAACACCTCACAAACATCAATAACTTTATCCTCCAACAATTCCTGGAGGTAAGGAAGTATATGAACCCTTTTACAGAGATGGGAACAGAGGCACAGAGAGACTGATTTGCTCACAGTCACATTATGAATCTGTGGCAGAGCAGGTAAACAACCCGGGTCTCACATGTTCCAGGTCAGGCTTTAGCAGCAATGCCCCCTCCCTTCTCAGTAAGGGTGGAAGGCATGTGTGAGAAGATGTGGCTGGAGGGCACTGCTGAAACAAAGTATGCTAATGTTGTCCTCTTAATTGTTAAGATCTTTTGGGTAGTAAGGTGCCTGCAGCTGAGCCCAACACCCCGAGTCCATTTGTACCACAGCTGCTTATAGAGGGATTGTCACTTCCCTGTTCCATCAAGAGGATAGCTAGAATTAGAGATGCCACTGTTTAGGAAGCCAACGTTACAGACTTCCTGCTGCGATACTGCACTGCAAGCCCATACTTCTGCAACACAGGTTTCTCTCTTCCACTGAATATTGGCAGGGAGGGTTGGATTATCTCCTCCACAGATGTAATTAGCTGCATTTTCCCCAAGGAATTTCATTGTAATTTCCTGCATATTTCCAGTCTCTTTCTAGTTCCCTCTCCATTGTTTTGTCTTCTCATTTAGTGTTTATTTGCTAGTGCAACTAACATGTTAATCATCTGGAAAGGGGAAAAGATTAATCTACTATATGTTTTGAAATGTTTCGTTTGTGGATTTTTTGTGCAAAATTACGCCATAGTTCACAATTACCCACATTTATTTATTTTGCATAAATAATCTTGCCACTTAAATGAGCTGAAATGCATTACTTTTTACACCGGAATATGGTGGGTGAAAGGTTTAAATAATTATTTTTGCTTTTCATCGGAAAAAAGTCACAAGTATTATGATTACAGTTCATACAAAATACATACTAATAAAATTGAAATCAAGTTGCCTATTCAACTGTCATTTTAGTGAAAAGAAAATTTGTACTGTTACAGATCACAAAATAATTCAAGTTAGTTACAGAAAGCATAATGGAAGCTTTATAAGTTTCTGAGTCAAATGTACTATGTATAGTAATTATTCAATAAAATGAATCATGTTTGAAGTTGAAAACCTACATGTTTAAAATTGTTCTTTTACTTCCCTTTTGCAAGCAGATTAATACAAAATTCTATCACATATATTTAATGTCTTGAACTTTCCTAAAAGTGTAATAGGTAGTGCTGTGCAATAGGGACATTAAAATTGTGTAATGGGGTAACCATGTAAGTGCTGAAAATCTCAACAGTTCCACGGTTACCCATGCTGTGAGGTCTGCAGTATAAAGCTTAGCTTTATATTGCAGATCCCACAGTGAAGCCTCCCGGGGAGGAGGGCTGCCAGCCCCTGCCCACCCAGCTCCTGCGGCAGCGGCTTCACTACAGCAGCGAGCCCTCTTCCCTGGGAGTAGAGCTGGCAGAACTTGTCCGCCAAGCTCCCAGGGAAAAGACACCTTCGAGTGTAACCAACACCATTAATCGATAAGCATCTGCACATCCCAATGGTACAATTTTGCTGCATCCACTACACAGCCAGTCTCAAAGAATATGGTAACAGCAGCTGCTTTATTCAAGTCCACAACATCTGCTGCTTTCCTTCATCAGCTACAATTGTCATTCAAATTTTACAATAGCTCTGTTAGTTTTCAGGAGCTGGGTGGCACGTTTGGGGCCCGTCAAATTAAGTAACTGCCTATTTACAAGTCATTCTAATATTGTGAGAACTGGGATGAGGGGACCTATCTGAGATTTTTTCACTCACTCATGAAATCACTTGTTTCAGTCATCTTCACACCTCTTCCATAGGGCCCTCTCAAGTTGTCCTTGATTTTAACTAACCTCCCTTCGCTCATACTGTTGGCTCCCACATGGATGAAGTCCAACCTTCCTCAGAATTCCCTTTTTCCTAGCACCTGGGAAACACTGGCTCTTGAACATGGCAGTGTAGGAGTTAAAAGCAGAGGGGACAAAAGAGGTCGGCTGGTGAAACTAAAGGGGTGGGCAATAATTTTTTGCTGGGGCCACTTCGAAAATTGGCCTGGGGGCAGGAGTGCAGCAAGGCCTCTGCAGGCCCTAATTGGCCTGGGGGTGGGGGAGCAGCAGGGCCTCTGTGGGCCAGATCCACCTGCTTGGCACGCTGGTTCCAGCTCGCGGAGGCCCTTTTCCCCCTCCCCCCTTTCTAGAATCTGCCCAAGGAACTAAAGTGAGGAATAGAGCTTCCTCTGCCCTGCTGCACGTATTTAACCTGTTTGCTCCCCAAAAGCCCATGTCCTAATGGAACCCAAGATCACATGACAAAGAGAATAATTTCTGTACTATGGGGTTGGGGGGGGGTGTAGTGTCTGATACAGACACAGACCTTCCCCATTAGACAATTCGGCTAGACAGCTGCAGCTGCTCTTCTTTATTTGAGTTTTGCTTCTCTTTGTGTCCACGGCCAAAGGCAGATTGTCACAGGAGATGGACTGCCCACCGCACCAAACAAAGGAGGAGGAAGTACTCACCACATTACGGAGAAAACAGGAAGTTATGTTCCCCTCCCACCCATCTAGTTACTTAGAGGACTCCCATTACACAGTGGTGCAGCACCTCCCAATCACTAGTGTATTTAGCCTCACAACAACCCTCTTGCTCTATCCCTACCTACACCTTTAGTTCCTGCCTACTCAGTGCTTACCACTCCAGCAGCCTTTGCTCTTGGAGGCTGTAGCCAGCTGGGAGAAGGTAATTCCGGTAGTTCTGAAGCTGGTTTGCATGGCAACTGTCATGGACCCAGACATGAGATACACAGGGAATTCCACTGGCAAGGCACAGGAAGTATTTCCGGGTTCGGCAGTGCTGATCTGCAATCAGGAGACACTGATACGCCGCATTACACTTCGGGGAGACAAAGAGACAAAGCATCAGAACCTGGTACTTCCTAAGCAGTCAGAGGTATCCTTCCATAAAAACTCTTTAGAGAAACTAAGAGCCCTCAGGAGGCACAGAAAGCAGGAGGAGAAACATACAGCTGCTTCCTGAAGGACTGAAGCATGGCACAAAGTATATTCCCCCCAATCTTCGGTGAAGTCAGCTGTTTAAGGTGACTTGGTCACCTGGGTAAACCCAAAAAGTCCACCCCTTCCAGCATATTGAAGTCCAAGAACTCTTCTGAGTCCTACTATGGCCTTCCTGGGCTTGTGTCAGTCTACCACTCTTTAATATAGAATAGTGATAGAAATGCAGCCGTGTTAGTCTGGTGTAGCTGAAACAAAATACAGGACTATGTAGCACTTGTTAGTCTTTAAAGTGCTACATAGTCCTGTATTTTGTTTCAACTCCTTAATATAGTTGTTTCATCTCATAAGATGGCAGTACTGGGAAACCCAGACTTAGATGACTCCTATTACCACAATTTGCTTATTCAGTGATTTCTAGCCCTTTTTGGGCTGCCTGTCCCTGTAATCAAACAGACAAACAGAATTAAAAAAAAAAAACGGGGGGGGGGGGGGAATTGCTGAATGTTTTACCAGCGTTCTTAGCTGGCTTCCTACTTTCAAGGAACACGGATTCCTAGCCACGTCTTCCAGCTTGGCTCTCCCAGCTTCCACCAGGTCCCATTCAATAACAGCAGCAGATCACTTCCTGGTCTTGTCTCTTCACTTTGCCACAGTACTTCCTTCAGCAGCAGCAGGCCTTCTACAACAGGGCACCCACTTTGGCCTTCTGAGAATGAGCATGCACCCGTTCACTGGTAGTCCAAGTCTATCCTCTCCCAGGACTCCTCTCTTTACACCCTCTACAGGCCTGGCTCCAAGTCACTGGACTCTTTGCCTCCGTGTGGGAAGGGAAGTCAGGCTAGCTCTGGGGCAGCTGAGCCCTCAGCCCTCTAAAAGGACCACCTCACACTGACATACAGGATTTAAAGATCTTCTGTCGTGGGGTGGGATCTTTTCTGCAAAACCCACAGAGGCATCTGAGAGCATCCACATATCTGGAGATTTAACTTCAAGTTTCAAACCTTCAGGCTGGAAGCTCTCTGGATCTTTGTATTTCACTGGGCCTTTCATCAGCTCTTCCCAGAGAGGTAGCTCTCAAGGAGTTCACAGACACGTGTGGAGTTAAGGGGGCTGTATGGCTAGCAGGAGGCTGTTAGAGATTCCCTGACCCTCACCAACACTGTTTTCCTAGCAACTCTGGTGAGAAGAGGCAGAGAAACGAAGGTCAGATCAGCTGAACGAGGGGGCATCTGTCCTCATAGAACAGAACACTCGGACTGGAAGGGACCCCAAGAGGTCATCTAGTCCAGTCCCCTGCCCTCACAACAGGACCAAGCACCGTCTAGATCATCCCTGACAGGTGTCTGTCTAACCTGCTATTAAATATATCCAGTGATGGAGATTCCACAACATCCCTAGGCAACTCATCCCAGTGGTGTGTCTCAGAGATCAAGGAGACAGACAGTGAGCCTCAGCACATTGCCTTGTTTATACCCTCTCTAAACCAAACCTCTGCATTTTTTGATCTAAGTTCACAAGTGTCTATGAGCCCATTCACAACTGTACCCAGATCTTGCCCTCAGTTGATACAAGTAATTGAGAGCTTGTGACGGGGAGAATGTGCCCCGCACTGGCGAAGGGGGGGCCAAGACTGTGGGCGGAGGAAGTCCCACCCTTCTTCCCAGACTGGGCATGCTCCAACAGCCAGAGCTGTATAAAAGCCAGTGGAGCAGCTCAGTCTGGAGGGACCACCAGCAGGGACGGAACTCAGGCTGGAGCTCCTGAGCAGTCCCTGCTGCCGCATCCGCCACAGCCACCGCAGCCTCAGAAGCAGCCACCGCAGCCCTGACCAGGGAGACCTTCTTCATGAGTCGGATTCATTGAGCAATGCCCCGAGAAGGGGGCGACACCAGGGACAGTAGGAAGTGGCCTAGGGCAGAGGTTTGTCCTTCTGGGAGCTCAGCGCATTTTGGTGGGATGCCCCTGAGCAGGGAGTGAAAGCATCCACTGCCAACAGGGCCTTGGGTTGGGACCCGGTGGAGTGGGAGGGCCCAGGTCCCCCTACCTCCCTGCCCCACAACACTCGTCTCCCTGACAGCCGGGGGAGACTCATCGGGGCGTAGGTCTCCAGGCGAGAGCACCTTCCAGAAGCAGAGCATAGTACCTTTGACTAGGCCTGCAGGGCCATATATATCCTGAAAGAGGGAACAGTACTTTTGGCCAGGCCTCTTGGGCCGTATTTACCCTAAATTTGGGAACAGAACTTTGGAACCAGGCCCACAGGGCCATATTCCTTGTAAAAGGAGGGAATTGTACTTTGGGGACCACCCACCCCTTTTGAAAAGGGACATCGATCCTGCCTTTGGAGGGACCTCTCCCCAACCGTTGTGGGGGTCTGGCCCCCTACAGAGCCCAATAAGGTACAAGAGCAGTTTCCATGAATTTTTCCAATCTAATTTACCCGTGCACTTGTTATCAATGAACGTCACCTGCTTTTGATCAAGAGCATCAAATGCAATGTGAAGATGAAAAGAGAAAGGCGTGGGAGCCCTATGCACAGACTAGGGCCCCACTCTATCCTCCCACCCATCCCTTCCCCCAGACAAGATTTCCAGGTATTACACAAACATTACACACACAACCCCCATCACTACATGCTCCCAACTGCCCCACTCCATCCTACTCCAGCCACCTTCCAGAGTTGTTTCCCTCCCCCTCATATAATTTTAGCTCCTATGGGAATGCATTATGGGCACACTATGTTCTCACCTGGGTTTCATTGAAGTCCTCCAGGATGTAGCCAGCTCCAGTTCGCAGCTGCAATATTGTGTACTGTTTGTTGTAAGGAATTGAGAATTCTGCAACAGGAGGAGAAGAGAGCTGACAGCCTTGGCTACCTAAGCTATGCCATGCCCTCAACCCAACAGAGAGACCCCACAGATGTTATAAAAATCAAGAAGATGTGGTGAGAAGACACAGAGCACCCCTTGGCGGTACAGCAGAGTGCTGAGGACATTTCTGGCCAAACTGTTCACTCAGGTAACCCATGAATCTTAACAACTGCTTTTAAAATCAAAGCATCAAGTTCATGCACATCAGCACTATCTGCCAAGGGCAAGTTCAAGTCTCTTGTTGCTGCTCTCTCAAGCCCTAAGTCACTCAGCCCAATCACCTGCAATCTGCCAGTAATGCCAGCTGTGACAATACCTGCACTGACTGAAGAACCTGCCATCACTATTGTAATTTTCCTCCTGCAGGCTAAGTTCCTGGAGCCAGAGACTGGCTCTGGCTCACTTCTGTGAGGGGCCTAGTAGAACATGGGATAAATTGTAAAGGAGGGGGCTCACTGAATTTGCAGATATGCCCGAGCAGATGCCACCAGCCCTTTCCCTAAACCCAAAGTATTCCACCTGGAAATAGAACAGGGAAGATTCATCTCACCTTCCTCTTCCTCACTACTGCCTGCAGGACCAGCTGATCGCTTCTGGCAATTAGCCAGTTTGTCACTCGGGGTTGCCATAGTGAGAAGAAAAGCGTAACCCAGAAAGAGGGTCTTGTTGCGGGGCAATGGCCCATGATGCTCCTCCAGCGTCGAGGGGTCTCCTGTGTGATCTCCACTTTCACAGGGGCTCAAAAACTCACCGGCCCTCACAGCCCCTATGGAGAGAAGGAACTGCTATGAATGCTCTGCATCAGGACACCCAATACAAAGGCAGTTCCAGGTGGCTCACCATGCTGGTACTTTTCCTTGTGGGTGGCCAATGTGGGCTCCAGAATAGAAACTACTTTT